AGGCCCGGAAGGCACGGGATCATTCTTTTAGAAATGATCTTAGTGATGACTTTGTATACCACATTTGTACAAGCAATTGGTCTAAAGTCAGCCGGCGTAGGAGAATGGTTTGTCTTAGGAATTAAAGCAATAACCGTGTGGTTAGTTTGCTTTAATAACCTACCAGACCCAAAGAAGGCCTTAACAGCCTTGGTAAAATCATAACCAACCATGTTCCAATTCTTTTTAAAAAATGCCGATGTGTATCCATCAGGACCAGGTGATTTGTTGTCACCAATGTCAAACAAAGCCTCTTTGATTTCCACATCTGTGACAGGGCCAACAAGGCTGGCCGAGGCACTAGAAGGGAGACATCTACCCGAGGCAACTATACTGGGGTCCAATCCGGAAGTAGGATAGTGAGTACCAAATAGATCGGTGTAAAACTTCACTAGTTCCGTAGCCACTTGGTCAATAGAAGTGGTAGTCATCCCATTATGGAGTTTAAGAGCCGTAATGGAATTTCTAGCCACATTCTTTTTCACAATAGCATGGAAGTATTTGGTACACTTATCACTTTGAACAAGGTGATTTGCCTTGGCCTTTTGTCTAAAAAAGTCTTCTTCGGCCACTTTAAGGTTAAGAAGTTTTTTCTTAATCAAGGAAAGTTCTTCTTTTATAGTTTCATCCAACGGAGAGAGTATAGAGAGCCCGAGGAGTCTTTTATACTCTTTCTTGGAATCATTAACTCTTTCGGAAATGTGGCCAAAATGGAGTTTATTGAGCTCTCTAAGTGGTCTTTTGAGGTCCTTCAATTTCTTGGCTAAGATGAATTGAGAGCTTCCATAAACCTCTCTATCCCAATGGGTAGTGAGGATGGCATTGAAGTTTTCGTGGTTTAGCCACATATTAAAAAATTTAAAAGGCCGCGAGGCAGCCCCACAAGTTTTCCCAATGGAAACCATGGAAGCTACATGATCGGATTCAAGTTCAAAATCATGAAAATGAGTTTTGCACTCAATATCCAAAGTTGACCAAAAAGAGTTAATGAGAACTCGATCTAATTTAGCCCAAAGCGAGCCTCTATTCCAAGTAAGGAATTAATGGAACCTATTCCAAGTAATGAGAACTCAATATCCAAAGTTGACCAAAAAGAGTTAATGGAACCTATTCATACCGAGATTGCACACATGGGCGTAGCCAGGACACTGGGCTAGACTGGGCTGGTACAAAGAATATTATTGGAAAAAAATTTACACAAACTTTTTTACACTAAAAATATTGACATTTTTCAAATTTGGGGTGGGCCAGGGCCTAGCCTGGGCACCCCCTAGCTCCGCCCCTGATTGCACACCAAATGAGGTGGATGGCTCATATTTGACCCTTTCACTCCCAAGCCCCAATCAGTGCAAATGGTCTATTAAAAAGCGAATATAGTCTTGTACTATGTGTGTGAGAATAAATATACATCTGTTCTATTTTTCGGAACAAATATACCCCTGAAATATATGTTGAAGTGCATATATACCCTTAAACTTTAAAAAATTGAAATAATACCCCTCATGATCTTATAAAGGAGCAAATTTACTCTTATCGACTTTAAATAGAAAAAATAAATTTCAAAAAACATCAAAAATAAATTATAAATTCGAAATTTAAAAATGAGAATCTATTATTATGTTAAAATATTAACTCTTTAATTTTAAATTGCAAAATTATTATTTTTCTTTTATAAATGAAGCACTTCAAATTCATAAATATTAATTTTAGTCTTGTTGTGAAATTCTGAACACATTGTTACATACGGAGTATATTGAAATAACATTCTTTGATTATGTTTACCTTTAATAAAATTAAATCCACTATTTTGTAATATTGAACTATTTATCATCATACAAAATATGTAATTTTATAGTGCAAAGAATGCAAAAAACAATATAGTAATGTTTTGAAATAATACTTTATACTAACAATATTAAATTGTGATATAAAAACAATAAAAGGAAGAATTGGACACAAGTACATTTTAATTTTTTTCATATCGAATTTATAATTAATATTTGGTGTTTTTGAAATTTATTTTATCAATTTAAAATCAACATGGCTAAATTTGCTCCTTTGTAAGAACATGAGGGGTATTTTTGCACATTTTAAAAGTTTAGGAATATACCTCAAGGATATATTTATTACGAAAATAGAACACGAGTTATATTTGATCTCACACCCATAATATTATTTCATCTTTTTTATCATTTCCACTAAGATTGTCTCACACCAAATTTGATGTAGTTTGTGTGATTCTAAATGATTCTTACTTTATGTTGAATCATAAAGTTTGTGTGATTCTACGGTTTTATTTAATGGTGATGAGATTCCGCACTTATTTAGGTTGAAGTGTTGAACTCAAAGCATCCTCTTTACCCATAAATAAAAGTTGAAAAAAAGGGCTAAACATCTCTTTGGGGATGTTTGGCAAATGACTGTTCGCTGTTGGCTGATAGATAACAACGAATTATGTTGGCTGTTTTGATTAACAGATAATGTTAGCGGTTCATAAAATGATGTTTGGTTAAATAACAATTTACAATTATCTGAAAACTAATTAAATTACCTTTAAGGACATGAATTTATTTTTTGAATACTTACCACGTTTACAAATATCATATGAAAGTATATTTTTTTTTCTAATCAAGCGAATTGAATAAAAGAAAAATCTAACTTTTGCCAACGTTTACACATGAATTACTTACCACGTTTACACATATCCCATTTTCAGAAAAGAAATCTTATCGACAATTTATGCTGGTAAATATATGTCATACATAGAAATAACAATTAGAGAACTCTAATTTTAATGATAACAAATCAATATATATATATATTAAAGATGAACTTTTTAAGAGCATACAAAGCGCCACATAATCTTGCCATGTCATCCATTATATATTTTTATTTATTCTATTAGATTCTATTTTTTAATGCATATTGATATGGAAACAAAAGATTGTATGATAAAAATCAACTTTATTTGGTAACTTTTTCAAAAACCTTTTACGTAATTGATAATTATTGGAACACAACAATTAATAACCAACCTACACTTAGACTACAATTTATACGGAGTACTTTTTATAAGCATGGAGTAAAAATTATTTGATTATTTTTATTCTTTTTATCTTTTGTTACATTCTATTGACGAATGAAATATCTTTGTTTTGCTATTTATTTTGTCTTCAAAATTATTTTATAAAAAAATTTTAATAATAGTGTCCCATTTCCTAAAATATACTCCGTACTCCGTAATATTTTATTCTTCTAAACTCAATGTTGAAATCATGATTAAAATTCTAAGCCACAGATTTGCAATTGTGTTAATACTTCATATTTTTCTGTCATATTTATATAATATTTTCTTTATTATTTTACAAATGGAATATATTTTAATTTTGTTCATGATTCAGGAGATTCCGTCTATTCAGCCCATTAAGTCAGCTTTAATCAGTTTCAATAAAATAAGCCTATTCCACCTATTTTAGTATTATCAAACGAACTCTATATTTAGACTGGATTTATTTATCTTTTGCATCACATTAAATTTGATTCCAAAAAATCATATTCAAAATTAACTAAATTATGTACAGCCTGTGCATCGCACGGGCTTGAAATCTAGTGTCTAACATAGACAAAAATGTTTAGGCACGATAATTTATTTTTGGCTAAAAGGTCAAATAGGCCCTTGAACTGACTTAAAGTGTTCAATTAGTCCCTTGTATAGGAGGTTCTGCCTGGCTGTGCTCTAACTAAACTAATAAAAACTATTGGTACAAACAATTTTGAAAATGCGTACAAAAAGTATAGGTTTAAATATAGGTTTAAATATTGTTTTAATCCCTGTAAATATGACACACTTTGTTTTTAAGTTTCGGCAAAATATTTTCTTTGTTTTCCATCCATGTAATATGCCTTCTTTTAATTTTAGTTCATCTCTAACTTCGAAACAACTCTACCTAGAAAACATTTTATTGTCGGTTTCATAAATATACTAGAAACATTTACATTTTTCATTTTATAATTTTCTGATGCTAATATGAGAGTTAAAACAGTATAAAACTAATTATTCACATTTTAAAAATATGTATTAAAAATCTTCTGAAAATGAAATTAAATACTTGCTGAATGACATGACAAAGAAATAAAGGAAATCTATTAGTCGGGTTGTTTCATTGTCAAACGGGGGTTATTATCATTAGTCATGAACTAAAAAAAACAACATAAATTTCAGGGATGAAAAACAAAGAATTATTTTGCAAGAACCTAAAACAAGATGTGTCATATTTTCAGACTAAAAACATATTTAAATAAAAAAAATATAATTTTTACCTTATCGATATATTTGTATGTGCCTAACTTTTATGGTCCGTAATAATAGATTTCTTGGACAGGCATTTTCTTCCTATTTAACAGCTTTACATCAAAATTAGTTTGTGTGATTTTTTTTAATGTGAAAATTACATTACACATTGTTTTTATGTTGTTTTTCAAATTTAATTTTTTAATTTTTTTAGGAATAAGAAATAAAATATATTAATGGTCAACTCTATGTATTTGACAAACGTGAGAATTAGAATGTTGCAACTCCAAAAGAATGAAGTTTAAAATTAAAAGGTAAAAACTTTTAAGTAGAATATACAAAAAATTCCAAAAACATAAAAAAAAATCTTGACACTTGAATTTTACAATTGTTTTTTTGTTTCCGGAATTTAAACAACTATCTTAGTTTTTCTAAAAAAAACTTGCTATAACAAGTGAAAAAAGATAAATAACCAGGTCGATCGATTTTTGGAAAATGCGAACTTGTATTTATACTACATCTATCCTTTAAAACTCCATCATCTTTAATTTTTCAAGTCAATACTGGTAAAATTTGAACCATTATTTTAATTAATACCGCCCAATTCTGATCCAGGTTCAGACGAATCAGAACCAATTCTACCCTAATTCACACCTAAGCAATAAATAGTCTGGTTGCAAGATGACAGCAACAATAATTTGATCACAGGGTCAATGAAAGCAAATAAAACGAGATAACTACAAATCAAGGGGTTACAAAGAATTGTGGTTTCTATAACAGACCGACATTTGTGCAGAGCGGGCTGGGATACACCAGTGGAAAACCTGAATGAACTTGGAAGAATCTAATGAATACAAATGACTCTATGGGATTGAAAATATCTATCCTCAATATCGCCGTTCTTCCATGTCCAGTGGCTAAATTTTAAGCTACATATAGCCAGGTTATATCAACCAAAAAATACCTAAGGAATGTGTGAATGTGCGTGTCATGCGTGTGTGTGTGTATATATAATCCTATGTACATGGAACCATTCTTGGTGTACACAAAATTTGTACACAAATTGTACACCGCCAATGTACACAGGCATTTTGGCATACAACCTTGCCTTTTTTTAAATGAATTGCCCGAGTACACAAGCAACTAGGGGAGTTGTGTACAATTTGTGTACTAATTCTGTGTACAACTAGTATTTCTCATGTACATATCAAAGGGCTTTTGAGGTATTCCTGCTATCCTTATTCACAACTTCTTGTTTGCACATGCAGTCAGGCATTGGGAAAGTATAAAGTGAGCTGCTGGATTTTCTGACCTCACAACCCTTCATGTCACTGTGGTGAAGCATATCTTGCAACTGGCGTTTGAAGTCATTCCATCTGTTGGTACATCAAATAAACGAATACGACAAATATTTCAAATTTGCATTACTTGAAGAAAGTTTAAACTTTCTTGCCCTCCAAAACAGGTAGGGGCTTCACACGGAAATGTGGCGAAAGAAAATGTCTTATTATGGGTACAAACATGCACTTGTCTACCAAAGTATGCTTTTCTTACTCTCTAAAGTAAGGCTTTTGAGTATTTATTATTTTCTAAAAAAGTCTTTGCCTTAGGGGAGACATGCACATGCCTACACACAAAAATTCAGACTGGTTCAGGTAATTGTGTTTCAATTGGCATTGGTTATGCTATGTTGACACTAGGGCCTGTTTGGAACGTGAAAGATGCTAGTGAAGGAAAATAGAGTGGAAAATCCATGAGGAGACATTTGGAAGAAAATAATATGTCAAGAAAAATAAATTATTGGTTTAAGCTATTTTTTTAAATTATTGAATTGATTATTATTTATTCATATACGTGTTATACAAAGTGAGAAACTTTAACATATTAATGTCATTTTCTAATGTAAATCCAAACACAAGAAAACAATTTTTCTTAGCACTTCCTTTCATTTCCCAAGCATTTTCTATGTGTTTTTTACGCAAGAGGAAAATCCTGTGATAAAAACAGTTTTGAAATTTCATCTCATTATTTCTTCTTTAGAAGTTTCCATCATTTGCAATGGAGCCAAAGATTCATTAGTTTTTGGCTTGAGAATATGATGGAATAAAGCAAAATGGCTCACTAAACTGTCTGCGCTTCTCTGTTATGCGATTTTGGCAGCACTCAGTCCATGCAATTTTGGACGCGATTTTCACTATGGGTCATTCGGAAACAGTCTCTCTGTGCTTTAGTACAGGGGTAAGACTGCGTACATCCGACCCCCCCTTACCCCACCGTAGGTGGGAGCCTTTGCGGCACTGGGGTAAATGAAAATGAAATTTCTTCTTTAGAAGGCTCCAGAAGGAAGGATTCCACGGTAAAACTTTGTCACTGCTTTTTGCATAAATTTATACAACAACATCCAAGCCTTAATCCCAAAAGATTTTGGGGTCGGCTAACATGAATCGAACCATGATATCAGTGCCAAAAAGAGAAGACAGACAAAATGAAAGAAAAAGAAAACGAAAACAAACAAGAAAAATTCCCCAAAGTAATTGGGATTAAGGTGTTGAAATGAATTAACATGCAACAATGAAAAGGATTATAGAATGACAGTTAAAGCACATTACCTTATACTCGGGCGATCAAACAGAAGAACTAATTTCCGCTTATCAGGTTTGATTGTCTTGGCATGGCCACCATTCAGATAGCGTCTATGACCCACTAAGAAATGGGGAAAGTTACCTCCCTGTGTAGTGACAAAAACTTCACTGTAGAGGCAAACTGTATAATCAAGGGCAGCCAATCGTGATAAATGTCCCTACATTCAAATACATACAGTTTAGTTGAGAAAGAAACAATACCTAGATACAGGGGGGGGGGGGTGAAAATTTTTGGTAACACACCTGAAATGGAGCAAGTTCTTGTGGTGAAGCAAGCGTCTCTTTAGATTCTAGATGTGGGAATATCTGTTTGAGGGGAGCCATATACTTCTCAGCCTTATAAATTTTCCCAGAAGCAACATAAACCGAGGTGCTATTGTCAAATCCCATACCTCTTAGCATCATGCCCACCTATACCAAGAAATCATAGAATTAGTTTATCTATTTGCCCAAATGACACACATTGAAGATAAGCTTTAGACACTCATCACATATCTTGTACCTCAAGTGGAGTAAGAGGGCACTTCCCATCCATCCTTATTGCACCTGGTCTTATAATTCTGCCTCTTTTCCGGAACTTTCCTCTCCAACTCCTTTCCCGAGCAATATCCATTTCAAGTTTTTCTTTCTCACCACCATCATAAATACAGCAAGAAAATGCAACCATATCCTTTAAAGACAAAAAGGAAAATTGAACTGTTTTTCAAATTAAACAAGAAATATTTAGCCATTTAACAAGTCTGGCAATTTCAAAAGAACAATAAAAATTGCAATGAACTAATTTAAACTAAATTAAAATTTTAGCCAGGCACACAAAAGACACACCTCTTCAAATCGGAGATGCACTGAAACATATTTGCCCCCACTTCTTGAGCTATTTTTCATCATTCGGTCAACCATCTTTGCTGCAAGCATGCGTATGGATTCTGAAAATCTCAGTGCTTCAAAGTTGCACAAACATCGAAGGCCTTGGATATTTGGAGGAACTAAATGGGCCAATCTATTGGAAAAAGGTGCGATCCGTACAGCCCTGCAAAACATATGAAAAGTTAAAAAAACATGAAAAGGTAAGATCCATTGGCATCAAGTGGTAACCAACCAGCACAAAAAATAATCAGATGAATATGGAGACATGAGATATATACCCCAATTCCAACAGCTTTGGTAGGACCTTTTGCCTATAGTATGTTGGACTGGACCAAGCCTTAACTCTCAAGTTAACAATGTTGCCAATATTGTTGTCAAAACGCTGAAGTACATCTTCTGGAAGTTCCTTAACCACCTTGACGTGATTCCTCAGTGCATATATGAAAAAGTCCTCATCAAAGATATCACCAAACTTGCTGCGTAAGAGGTCAGTCAGGAAAATAGTTCAAAGTAACAGACACCTCAAAGAAAACTAGACCTGAAAACAACACTTTGAAACGTCACATTATAGACAAGTAAATACTACAATGATTTCTAATATAATGGAGTCCCTTAATTATAGTTCCAAACCAATATAAAGATGTCAGAATGTTCAATATATGGTTATGAAAAAGTTTGTTTCTTCTTCATTTTTTGCATGGGTTGTTCTATTTCTTCAAAAGTACCATGGTCTCCACAGCACAACATGGTATGCATAATATACAGTAAAAAGAAAAAAAAAAGTAAGAAAAGGTATCAAGAATAAAAACATCCCAGGTTCTTTGTGCACATTTTCATTACCTAATAAAATGCCATTATACGCATTTTTGTGATGACTTAACATTCATAGCTTAATTATGTTGTAAGTTTACCTAGAATCTCGCCAAACACTATTTAAATGAAATATTGGAATAACAAGTGTAGCATTCAGCAGACCAGCAACAGCAACTGCATCACATATCTGCAATAAGATAATAAAAGGTTGTTCTTGTTCAATTGATTTCTTTTTTTGTCCCTTCGAAAGTTAGTGCATCATTCATGCAAGAAATCAGAGTCTTATTAACCCACAAAAAGATATATTAGTCAACTACAAATTCTATCAGTAATGATTCAGTACAAAATCAATATGGTTTAAGAAAAACTACATACCGCAAAGTAGAACACGAAATAAGGAAATTGCATTGATCATCAATATCTACAAATCTACATCAATTAGTGTAATTCTATTGATCTGCCCCTACACGTTTTGAATCTATTTACTAGTGAAGTTGGGTTAAATATGACCTAATAGTGTGATCCAACCCAATTAATGCTCTTCATGATGTAGAAAAGTTGATACAAAGAATTTGATGCAAATCAAGACACAAAACGATAAGAAAGAAGGTAAATATTATATATTTGTATCAAAAGAACGTACCGATAACCTTTGTTGGTTTAACCCGCCATTTGCTTCAATTATGAGGAAACCATTAGACTTTTGTAATTCCGGCAGCCCTAGAAAGCGAATGTTGAAAATTCAATTTGAATTTATTAATTAATCAAATAACAATATACTATTACAAATCTGGCTTATTTGATGTACGCTAAGAGCTTCTTTGATGAAAATCAGAGGACAATCCGGTAAGTACTCAAACGTGAATTAGAAGAAAAATACACAATTGGTTCTAGAAAAAGCATCATAAAATAATCTTTTCCAACATTTGATATTACAGGGTAGGACAAAAGAGAGCCTACAGGCTCTTCCATCCATTTATAAGTTGTCGTGCCGGAACTCTCCTACCTACCTCCTTCACCAGCTATTAATTCACGATTCTTTCTAGCAGCACAGAATTATAAAGTTTTCTTACTTGTCATCATAAATATCCTCTCTATGATTATCTTAAATAATTGCAGCTACACTTCAAATGTATTGATTTCTAATAAGCTGTTATCTTAATGTCCAACCAGCCACATTCAGCTCTGCTATGGTCATCCAATGGGTTTTGCTGTGAAAATGTGACACATCAAAGCTAAGATATTTAGCATTGATTTCAGTAAATACAGTCCTTCACCAGAAATATATAGAAAATAATATATTTTCAAACATTTTCACACACACAACATCACCGGTGACATAGACTCGTAGTATAACATCAAGTCTCATAAATCTAAAACTGTGAAGTGAGATTTTAAGAAAAAAGTAAATCACCAATATAGCTTCACAAGGACTCATGTTGCTCCAAAAACTATTAAAAAATTATAACCCCGTATATTCGTAAATTAAGTAAGATCAAGACCTTATAGTGTTTCTTAACAAAAGTGAATGAATTGCTAGGTCAATGATGAGAGTAATAGACAGAAATGCAGAATACTGACCTGCTTGAGAAATAGTCTTGTCAAGACAAGGCTTCCAGTTTTGATGAAACTTTGGATTCCACACATTTGTCAACTGTATATTCAAGCCATGAACTTTCAGTCAATTATATCTTGAACAGACCACGTATTATTCCTATCTTTTTTTTCTTTCTGAATTATAAGAAATTATTTTCCAACACAATTATCCAATAAAAGATACCTAACACTTAAAAATCTACCGCATTTGAATTATTTCATCATGCTCACATATCCAAATGATATGCTAGATTAAAAATGTTAGGCATTATTTTAGTTCACGTTTTCCCATTAATGCCTGCCTGCCTCATAAATATATGGAGCGGGAGGAACAATTGTAAAAAATGGACAAATAATTCATTTCTTATTTGGAATTACTAGAATGATTTATACCGAAACCAAATAAAACAAAATATGAGTTGGTAACTGGGAACAGGAGCAATTACTTATCCTATCAAATTTTAAGCAGCGGATTTTGGAACCAACCTGAACAAACCATGACCAAGTAAAAGTGATAAGACCAAGAAGTGGACTTCTTTTATTTATAATAAAAGAAAAAAGAAAGATGAGAAGCAAAGAGCAGATTCCATACCAAGTTTGAGCTTCCATTATTTTCACCCAGCATATGAGGCCAGAGGTTCTCAAATAACTGGGGGCTCCGATAAACTGATCCAGGCGGCGCCACCGCCAAATGACCCCCGCCACCACTGAACCCAAAGGTGCCCATGTACAACAACATCCCAGAAATATACAACAAAGGGGCGAAGAGCAGCACCCCTCGCCGGCGGTACACGGCCGAAACCAATAAAAATCCCACCTTCTCCGCAAAAGAGTGCAGCTTTAACTCTCCATTGATGCCACCGCGGAAGCTCCCCGCGCCACCTCCGTTGGGCGAGTTCTTTCTCCGGAGGCGCGGCGAGGAAGGTGGCGACGGTGTGCTGACGCCGCTCCCAAGCCGGCTTAGCCCGCGCATGGGGGCTCAGGAGATGAAAAGGGGAGAAAAGTCACTGTCTTGAACAGCTCCAGAAAACCCCCAATCTTGTTTGCGCTCAGGCGGAGGTTCCAGAACGGGAAATGGTGGATGGATCGCGTACAGTGAACTGTAAAGCAATGAACTTTGGGTTGCTTGGTGGGTGGAGTTGACCCCGCGTGGGGCGAGGTGAGGGGTTATGCTTGCAAGATTCACGGATATGGAAAGGGAGAGCTTTCTATGGAGTGGGGTCGTGCGTGGCTTGTTTAAAGGAGGTGAAAGGAGATTGCAGAGTGCAGATCACCGACGCCTCACGTAATAATAAAAGAAGAGCAGATTTCGGTATTTATTTATTTTAACGTTTCCAAAAGATAATAATCAGATTGTCCAACATTTTGTAATTTATATTGGGTAACATGTTACATTGTTATTCCCATTTGCCCATGGTAAGAAACGTTTGCCGTGACAAATAGGAGTGATATAAATTAGGGGTGGTCGAATTGTTGATAAAATTTAGAAGTTGCCGGTTCTATTAAATAGATAGTATTGGATCACATATATCAAGTCTTGTATACCGTGGGATCATCTGCTTCACATTCAAAATGACGTAGTTTTGCACATTTTTTTTTAAATTCGGATGAACAGTAACGCGTGAACAGTAACACGTGAACAATAACTTTTTCTTCTTCTTTTTATCTCAGTAGCATGAATGATGTAACTCGCGTGTAAAATAATGTAACTCACATTATTGATAAATGTAACTCAAGTGCATTCGAAATGTAACTTGTCAAAAACATAGTTTAAACTGATTTCAATTTAAACAATGAAAAGAAGAGTTTAATCGCACAATTACTTTATGTAAACCGCGAATATGTTTGGTTTTTAATATCAAGGCCATCATTTCATTTTCATTTACCCCAGTGTCACAAAGGCTCCCACCTACGGTGAGGTAAGGGGGGTCGGATGTACGCAGTCTTACCCCTGTACTAAAGCACAGAGAGACTGTTTCCGGATGACCCATAGTGAAAATCGCATCCAAAATTGCATGGACTGACTGCTGCTGCATAACAAAGAAGCGCAGACAGTTTAGTGAGCCATTTTTAATATCAAGGCCATAAAAATAATATTTTAGAAAAGATCATTTTCTTAATGTAACATGGGCATAATACTTCTGTGTAAATCCTGTGTGTTGACATGTAACTCACTCCCTTCGAAATGTAATCTCAGTTATTGTTAAATGTAACTCATGCCCTGAAATGTACTTTACTCTCTCAAATTCTATAACATATATATTAAAATGTAACTTCAGACAAGTTGGAATGTAAGTCATGTTCATTGAAATGTAGCTTGATCGGATAAGTCGAAATATAGATCACATTAGTAAAATGTAACTTGGTGCAGGTTGTAATGTAAGTTGCGTTAAAGGAGATGTAACTTAAGGCAAATGGAAATGTAAATTGTGTAAATGGGAATGTAAGTTGTCTAAGGCCATCTCCAACAGTTTACACCATTTTTTACACTAAAGTGGTGTAAACATCACATTATACAATACTTCATCTCCAACAGTTTACACTATTTTTATCACTAAAAAGGAATATTCTTTTTTTATTCTTTTTACCAACCTTTTACCATTATTGTATTTAATTATCTAATTATAATACATTTATACATTAGCCCCTCATTTAATATGTATTTTGGCATTTCACTCATTATTTCACAAAAACAAGCTAAAATACTACTATAATCAATATTTCACGCATTTCACTCATTAAAATACAATAATCAATATTTCACAAATACAAGCTAAAATCATATAAAATTAAATATTACAATGATATTATAATAATTCGATTTGAACTTTATTTATAATATTGTTTGATTTATTTATTTTTATATCAAATTTACAATTTAAATTTGTTGTTCTAAAAATGGGTCAAAACTATAACAACCAAAACTTTGGGTCACTTTTGCAAATAGAAAAAAAGAAAAGAAGTGAAGATGGTGCATCCCACCTTTGCACCAAATATGGCGTAAACTCTCAAGCCCTCCACCATTTTAGTGAAATGGGGTAGGATTTGGTGTAACTGTTGGAGCAAAAAAATAGCAATTCCCCTATTTTGGTGGAGAATTTGGTGATTGTTGGAGATGACCTAATACTCATATAAGATATATACATACAAAATAAAATATATAATACGGAGTATATATTACCAAAGTCCTTTAATCCACTGTAAGGGAATACGGCGAACTCAATTGCTGGAGAGACTAGTACGGCCAGAGATGGACAAGCCATATTCTTTGTCTGCTAACAACTTGTGTTAGATTACACATTCACAGGTCTGAATTAGAGTTTGCTCCATAATTAGCTTTAGTCTCAATTGCAATTAGTTGAAGCTGGATAACAAATTGTCAAATTCGATTCAGTAGGGAGTCCATCATGGAAGGCTTTGTGTCAGCAAAGGAATTAAATTTTGGCCTCAGGGACGAAGCATACGCAGGACGGCCGGAGAAAACGGCGAATTTTTATGGCTCTGTTTTAATTAATAGGGATTATAAAACGCCGTCGTTTTGGGATCGGCACACCATGCACATAATGGGCCGATCCCACGGTATAATTTGCGGTCTTGTTGAAATGAGGTGGTTCTTATTTCAATTCTTAATTCTTTTTTTAAATATAAAAGAGCGGCTTTTATATTTAAATGGGGAGGCGGCGGGTCAGACCTCCTAGACCCGCCGGTTTTGCAGTGGATGGTTTTGATTAAGATTTCGAGTGCTGGAGTTTATTTCTTTCTCTGTCTTAGGTTTTATTTCCATGGATTGTCTGTTTTGTTTTGTTTTTATTCGTTTGCTTACTGTGAACCTCTTGCATTAGGTTTGGAGGTTGAAAGGTCTGCGGTAGGCGTCGTTAGCTTTAATTTGCCCAAATTCGGTCTAGCGAGTTATATTGCTTTGTTTAAGGTGATTAACTCAAAGTCTCGGCCATGGGCGGATGGTTACATGCGGCCCTTTCATGTTCTTGTACTCCTGCTGATTGCTATTTTAATGATATAAGCGTCTTACGATAAAAAAATAAATAAATACTTCGAATAACTATACAAGATAATTTTCAGACAATTGCTACAGATTCGATCGTAAACCCTAAGAATAGACATAAAGTCAGTCAACTTGCACAAAACAACTTGACTCACTCTTTTTAAGCCGAAAACAATCAGAACCAAAATACCGTCTATTAAAAGTACTTCAAATATCCAAATGTCTAAACCAAACATACTCGAATAAAAACATAAACAAGTACTAGTAAAGTAAAAATAACACTAGAATAAAGCATTTTCACAATACTCTTTTTGGCACAAAGGTAGTTCTTGAGGAGGATGAGCTGCGATATAAAAAGATGTTGATACACTTGAGCTAATAAAGTAAAATCAACGTTACAATAATATAGTATCTATTGTTTTATATAGTAAAGCTCAGTTATAAACTACTGATGTGTCTTTCTCCTATTGGTTAACTAAATTTAATTAAAAAATTTAATTAAAACGTAGGAGAGAAAAACTAGGAGAAAAAATCGAAAGAGATAACTTAAAAAAAACCGAGAAAAATCGGAGAAGAGCGAAAGAATAACGCAAGTTCTTTCTTATTTGCAAGCAGAATGACGTTTTTATTTACAAAGAAACCATTGGCACTATTAAACCACATAAAGTGACGTAAGTTCTTTTTAATCAATGTATATTTTTAATTATTATAAAATTAAAGCATATGCAACTAGATAAAGGTACATTACACTAGATAGAGTATACTTGAAAGCGGTAGTATACGAACGTAATCATAATAAAATTAAATAATTTTATCCCTTTATGAGATACAAACAATTCTTTAAGTAATGAGTTGTAACACCTCTAATAGGACTCTCATGTGATACATCAATGTAAACTCCTTCACCACTTCCTTCCATCCTTCATTACATAATCAACTTTATAAATAATTAACAAGTATTGCAATGTTTTGGTAAAAAAACGTATTGTAATGTACTATTAGCATATAAATAACAATGTAATCACAGAATTCTTATACCCAAAAAAATGGTGGTTCCTCACCTGTCTTCCATGGTGCACTGTAGTTGCATCGAAGACATCTCAAATAAAAAGCAGAGTTGATCTTTACGTGTAAAGAATGACTAACTCACTGAGATAATTCTGTCAAAACTAATCTAAATCAACTTATTTCATACGAGATACTTCTAGCTGATGAAAATATATTTCAATTAGGAGTTATTAAATGTTGACTTTCTTCTCCAAATCTCTAATCTTGAAATTGTTTAGATTCACAAGTGTATTTTTTGAAGGTAAAGGCATAGTAAAATGTATATTGAGATCGAATTTTATTTAAATATTTTATATTTTATATAATAACACCAAGTTAAAAATGAATGATGTGCTACTACTAAAAAAATTAATTAATTCACAGTTCATCACTATTAATCACTCTCTACAACGGTGGATCACTGTTAAATTGACTAAGTTATTCACTCTGTGCATCATTATCATTTTGAGAAACGGAGAAAAAAATCTCATTTTTTAAATTGTTATAACTTTTTTTTATTTGTACTCCCGTATTTACAAAAAAATACAATAAAATTCATAAATTTTAAATATTTCATATGACACTAATATTGCATATATAAAAATTAAAAAAAAATCATATAATAAAGTTGAGTTAAAAATCAATGATGTGTCAGTCTCTTATTGGTTTATAAAAAAATTATTATCATTACTACTAAAACATTTAATAATCCAAGTTCACTCGGTGCATCACTAGTATTCACCCGGTGCATCACTTTATTCATTTTAATCACGCCAACTCATTTGGAGAAAGTGGAAGACAAAAAAACTCTTTTTTAAAATGTTATATGAGTGCTCCCTTCGTCTCACAAAATTCTTTTCACTTACCATTTTAGGATATCCCGAATTTTTTTTGTCATTTCCCTTTTTGGAAAATTTTGTGTGGATAACATTCATTTAGTTTTTTCTTACACAACCACAACCATACATTCCCATTTTATTCTCATTCCCCTAATAAGCGTGCCAAGTCAATCCGAAGTATTTTTTTGGGGACAGTGGGAGTATTATTTTTTCAGACAAGGAAAAAAAATCAAATTATATCAGACCAAAACATTCAAATCAGATCAGATTAAATTAGAAAAATGCAAATCAGATCAAATAAAAAAGATTCAGATTAAATTAGAAACATTCATATCAGACCAGAAACACTCGGATCAAATCAGAAAAGTTCAAACATGATTTATTAATAAACACTCAATCAGATAAAAATATTTAGATCAAATTAAAAAAAAAAACTCATATCAAAATAGAAAGGTTCAGATCATTCCGGAAAGATTCATTAGCGATCATACCAGATTAAACCAGCTTAAAAAAATTCAAACCAGATAAGATCAAATTTTAAAAATTTCAGATCATAAATGTTAATATTAGGCGAATAGAACCACTTATTAATATCAACCATATCAATGAAGTAGAATTCACGGTATAAATATCATATCAAGTTATTTTCGTAAAAAAAATTGTACAACATCAAAATT